ATATTTAGGCGTTGAAGGAGTATTAAAGTGGTACCTAGTGAACTCTCTTGTCACTAAGCTTAATTAGGACTTTGCAAGTTTTAGTACTGAAGTGATTAGTACATAGAATAAAACTAAAATAAAAGGTAGGAAAACTACTACAGTCAAGTGTCTCTATAACAGCCTCATTTGTTTCGGAGTTTTTTTTTGATGTTATAGCAAAGTGTTATTACAGAAACATATAGTATATTATAACATAATATGAAAATTGGTTCCATGAAAAAGTTGGTTATTATAGTGAATCGCTATTACATAGCGATGTTGTTATAGAGGAGTGTGACTGTACTTTGATATCGCATCCGTCCAAGTTTTTCTCTTTTCTTGTGGCTGTTGATTTGTGCTGATAAGCTTTTTAGCCGCAAAAGCAATGCAACCCTCGTCTCTGTTTAATTAGTTTCCCGTTGGAATACTACTTCTTTATAAGGTCCTGTATTTCATGAAGTATATATGGGAATCTTGCTGCTAATAATGCCAGTCCATATATTAAGAGGAGACAACTTAGTGACTTCAATTACAATGCACCCTTTCTTTTATTTTTAATAATGTGAATAGCTCTGTCTAGACAGTTTGGAGATTCTGTACCTTTCGTGTTCAATTCTTGGTTTTTTTCTGCAGATTCTACTGGCTGTTTTTACAAATACGATGCCTCCTAATGGCAAAAAGCAAAGTTTACCTCCGAATGTACTTGGCAACCTTCCTGAGAATGTAATCGATGACATTCTTTCTCGTTTGTCTTTACGAGATGCTGTGAGGACAAGCATGTTATCGAAGAATTGGAGATATAAGTGGTGCAGGCTTACACAGCTGAAACTTGATCAAACACTTTGGGAAACAACAAATGACTTAATACCCCCTACTGTTAAAATTACTGACATTATCTATCAGCTTTTGACCCTTCATGTAGGACATATTTCTAAATTTATCCTCTCCGTCTTTGATCTTATCAACTGCCCTAAGATTGACAACTTGATATATTTCCTCTCTCGGAATGGCATTCAACATCTTGTTCTTCAATTCCCGATAGGTAACCCATACAAATTGCCTTCCTCGTTTTTCNTCATTTTCCTGAAATTGGAGGAAAATGACTTCCCTAGAAAAAGTTAGGTAAAAAATTTTCCAAAACTCCACCTACCCTCACATCTAACCCCAACACCCTCCAACTCTAATTTTCTATTTTTTTTTATTTTTCTGCGTCACCCACCCCCGCAAAAATTACTTTTTTTACTTTTATTTTGTATTTCCAATTTTTTGACCCCCCACCCCCGCCGCGCAAAAAAATTGCTATTCTTATTATTTTGTATTTTTAATTTTCTATTTTTCCATTTTTCTGAACCACCCACTCCACCGCTATTTTTTTATATTTTTTTTTTGTATTTTTAAGTTTCTATTTTCTGTTTTTTCGTTTTTCTGCACCACCCCAACCCCCTCAACCCATCCCTCCCTCGTGGAAAAAATATTTTTACGAAATCTTAAAGTTATGAGTTCAGAGGCTTATGTATTTGGAAGTTCGCGGGTTTAGAAATTATAGAGTTTACAGGTTCGAAAGTTTAGTGGTTCGAAAATTTATGAAATTTGTGGGTTCGGAAGATTGTTGGTTCGAAAGTTTATGGCTTTAAGTTTATTGTATCTAAATTATTTATGAATACTCTTGAGAAGTTATTTTCCTTAATTTGCGCACCAAACACCGAAAAATGAGTAAGACTACTTGTTTTCCAAAAAAATATTTTTCACGAAAAATATTTTTCGTTATACCAAATACTCCCTTAGTCTAGAGCTAAGTGAAGTCACAATTTGTTTTGAATTTCTTGGACTTTTTATCTCCCGTTGCCAGTTGCTTGAGCATTTGGTGCTGGAATACGTAGATAATGCAAACCACATTGAGATTAACGCTCCCAAGCTGAGATCATTTGTCTTCACATGCAATATACATTTACTACATCTAAACCGTGTCCCTCTTCTTGCAAAAGTTTCACATGAGTCTACACCATCCCTTTTAAAAGTAGGAAAAAATGTTCTTGTCAATTTTTTTAAGTCCATTCCTGCACGAGTGCATCTCCACTGGAATTACAGTAGTATCCGGGTAATCACGACTTCATTTTAATGTGTCTTCAGAGATGTACAATATTTTCGGCTTTAACTCATCCCTTTTTTTGACATTTTTTTCCTAGTTTATGGTTACAAGACCAGGTGAGTACAACCAAGGCTTCCCTCTGCTCTCAACTGCTTTAAACATCTTTACCTATATGAAATTTTCCTGGAAGAACGAGTCGAGCTTTCTTATGAAATCAGCTAACCATGGAGCTCGGCTATGGGTGTGGAGCTGAAGTTCTCTGTTAGCTTTAGAGAGGAAGAGTGCTAGAGCGATTCTGATGGAATATTCTAGAAGAGGAGGAAAGGAAATGTAATGCTTCAATTCAATCTGACAAGTGTAGCGGTACATGTATATATAGAAGAAGAGAATAAAACTAACTCTACTCCTCAATTGTAGTTAAGGCTAATACTAACTATAGTCACACTAACTCTACTCTAATGTAAGTTAGTTATAAATAACAAATGGAACTTAACTACCTAGTAGTAAAGAAAGAAAGTTAACCACCACTAGCACTACTAATCTCAACACTCCCCCTCAAGCTGACAGGTAAGAACAGTTTTCAACCCCCAGCTTGCTAAGCAAAGAGTAGTGTTGGACATTTCCTAGACCTTTAGTGAGTATATTTGCCAACTGAACCTTGGTGTTGATATGGTGAGTTTGAATAAGACAGAGTCAGCAATCAAATCAAGGGCATATTTCCTCTGATTCATTAAAATGTCAGCCTTTCTACGAGCAAACTGTATGCCCAAAACGAATCTGAGTTCCCCCAAATTTTTCATCTTAAACTTCTTCTGCAGGTTGTCTCTAGCAGATTGAATTAGTTGAAAATCATTACCTTTAACTAGGAGGTCATCTACATAGACCAAAATGACAACCAAGATTGAACCTCTCTGTTGTAAACAAAGAGTAATCAAAATGACTTTGAACAAATTCCAAATCTTTAAGACCTTATGTCAATTTCAAGTTTCATTATTTGGAGGCTTGCTTCAAACCATAAAGTGATTTCTTTAGCTTGCACACCTTGGTCTTGGACTCCCCCTTGTTGATGTTGTACCCTTTTGGGAGTTGCATATACACTTCTTCAAATAAGTCACCTTGCAGGAAAGCATTGTGCACATCCATTTGGTAAATGTGCCAAACCTTAGAAGCTACTACTGATCTAATAGTGACCATCTTGGCCACTGGGAAAAATGTTACCTTGTAGTTCAGGGCCTCCTTTTGACTGAAACCTTTGACTACCAATCTAGCTTTAAATCTCTCCACCTCCCTATTAGAATTGTATTTCACTTTGTACACTCATTTACACCCTATGGGAGCCTTACCAGCAGGCAAATCAACAACATCCCAGGTGTTATTTTCCTCTAATGCTGTAACTTTTTGTTGCATGGTTAGTTGATTTCATCATGGTATCAGAGCTGAAGTTATCTGTTAGCTTTAGAGAGGAAGAGCGCCAAAGTGAATCTGACAGAATATTCTAGAAGAGGAGGAAATGAAATGTAATGTTTCAATTCAATCTGACAAGTGTAGTTGTACATGTATATATAGAAGAAGAGAATAAAACTAACTCAACTCCTCAACTGTAGTTAAGGCTAATGCTAACTCTAGTAACACTAATTCTACTCTAATGTAAGTTAGTTATAACTAACAAATGGAACATAACTACCTAGCAGTAAAGAAAGAAAGTTAACCACCACTAGCACTACTAATTTCAACACTTTCACGTGCTTTTTGCTTGATTAGAAGCTCCCGAATTTAGAGGAACTTGAAATTAAGGTTCTTAATGATGTTTGTTCTACATATGTGTGTGTTGTGACTTTCTTATTTCATACTCATTAAATCATCAGTTTTACTTTCAAAGTGATGGGTTTCCCATGATCATTCTTAGGGGCCTTTTGATCTTATAGGCAAATTACTTGCTCCTGTGCTCTGGAGCGCTGTTGATGAAATTCCTGCAAGCTTCTCAAATGTGACATATAATAACCTGAGGGCAGTTAAGATTAAAGGTGTAGCAGGAGCATGAGGTGAAATGCATCTTATCAAGGTTTTATTGGCCAAGTCTCTCGTGCTGGTGAGAATGGTAATCGACCCCGATGTAGTACGGGATCAATCTCTCAAATTACTTGCAGAGATAACCAAATTTCAGCGAGCATCACCTAAAGTGGAAGTAGTATATAATGTGGTTGATTATCCCGATTACTATCTCGCTTGATATTCACAAGTCTTTAATCAAACCATGGTCTTTGTTAAAATATTTTAGAAGCGAGTGTAAATAGAAAATAAATGCTGATGCAATAGTATAAGCCTATAAGGCTGTGTTTTTCCTTGTCATTCGATAGTGAGAAGAATGTCAGTTAGGGAACATAGTGAATCAGGATGGATGTTTTGGATAGTGTATATACTAATAAAAAGGAATGAATTAAACGTGGGGCTACGCGTAAGATGAGCAGGGGCAGAGCGATCGGGCCAGATGAAATCCCGGTGGAGTTTTAGAAGAGTGTGGGCAGGCGAGCTTGGAGTAGCTTAATAGGTCATTTAATATACTTTTTAGGACGAAAAAGATGCCCGAAGAGTGGAGATGGAGCACAATGGTTCCTATGTAGAAGAATAAGGGTGATATCTAAAATTGCAACAACTATCGGGGTATTAAGCTGCTTAGTCATACTATGAAGGTGTGGGAGAGGGTGGTGGAGCTAAGGGTGAGGAGAAGGGCATCTATTTCTGAGAACCAGTTTGAGTTTGTGTCAGGCATTCAACTACGGAAGTCATTTACCTTGTTAGGGGGATTGATGGAACAATATAGGGAGAGGAAGAGGGACATGCATATGGTGTTCATCGATTTAGAAAAAGCTTACGATAAAGTACCAAGGAAGGTTCTATAGAGATGTTTGGAGGCTAGAGGGGTACATGTGGCCTGCATTAAGGTGATTAAAGACTTATATGAGAGAGCGAAGACCTGTATGAGGACAGTAGGAGGGGTCTCAGACCATTTTTCAGTCCTCATGGGGTTGCATCAGGGGTCGGTACTCAGCCCTTTTTTGTTTGCCCTGGTGATGGACGTACTGAATCGCCACATCCAAGGGGAGGTACCGTGGTGCATGTTATTTGCAGACAACATTTGTTTGATTGACGAGATGCGAGACGGTGTTAACGCGAGGTTAGAGTTGTGGAGACAGAACCTAGAGTCTAAAGATTTCAAGCAGAGTAGAACCAAGACAGAATAGTTGGAGTGTAAGTTTAGTGGTGCTACTCGGGGAGTGGAAGGGGAGGTGAGGCCGGATTCACAAGTCATTCCTAGGAGGGGGAGTTTTAAGTACCTTGGGTCTATTATACAAGGAGATGGGGAGATTAATGAAGATGTCACACATCGCATTTGGGAGGGATGAACGAAATGGAAACTTGCTTCCGGTGTTTTGTGTGACAAGAAGGTACTACCAAAACTTAAAGGTATCTTTTATAGAGCGGTATTCAGACCGGCTATACTGTATGGGGCTGAGTGTTGGCCAGTCAAGAGCTCTCACATCCAGAAGATGAAGGTAGCAGACAGAGGCGGATCCAGGATTTTAAGTTTATGGGTTCCTGTCGTAATTTCAAATTAATATACAATAATAACTGGGTTCCCAAATAGATAT